CCTCAAAGCATTGCTCATAAACCACAGTACATAGCATACCACTTTGAGTGAGTTTGATGCTGTTGATGCCAGAATCATTAACCTATTGTTACATTTTACATAAATGGTGTGTAAAATTTACTTGTAAATTATGCAATTTTATAAATCTTTGGTCTTCGGTGATATTGAAGTTGAAAGCTAGAAAAAAGTTACACCTGAATGATGTGAAATGATACCCTATCTATATTTGAGCTAAAAAAAATTAGCTTTTTTATCTATCTTCCCAACACCCACACAAGATAGATGGTTGATTGGCATGTGAATGCTAGGGTTGATGCCTGTGGGAAGGCAACTGGGTGACAGATGCTTCATGAGTCCTCCTCTGCTGTTACTGTGCCTCAGCCAGGAGTTTGTTAATAAGTTGCAGATGGAAGTCCAGTAGGGTCATTGTGCCGCCAAGCTTTATTATTGCTAATTATTGCCATGTCAAGGAGGTTTGTTTGATTTCCATGGTGATTGGATGCTAACTCAAATATCATGGTGATGGATTGTTGAAAGCATGTTGTCTTGCTTCTTGTTCATCCAAGACAAAACCAGCAATGTTGGAATGGTCAGTGTCTAGTAGCAAAAACCTTCATATCCTTTGGTCGTCAGGTCAACAGCAACCTTTGTTGGTGCTGATATGTCACTACAGTCCTGCCCCCTGTAGTCCTTGAATGAGCTAGTGTATCCTGGTCAGGCTTGTCCAGAACATCTAGGGGTAGCTGGGGGATGACAGACCTCCCTTTCTTCCCATTAACCAAATGCGGTCTTGAAGAGTGAGAGTCTAGTTATGGACGTCTCATGCCTGCACCTCCTGGCATGAACTAAAACTTTTGTCATCAACATATGCCTATATGATATCTGTCAGTATATTTATTGTATAAAAGTCCTTCCCCCTGTGTGCTAACCTGCTGCATTATGTCAAGATTAACACTGATGTGCCATGAACCCCGAATTAGAAATATATTCTTACTTACTATGCTTTCATGTAATGTTTGTATTTTGGACACCTCTAGGGATGTTGTGAGGGAGGCACCCAGTGCAAACCTGTCGGTCAATCATGATTATTAACCCATTCACAATGGCTGATGTCCTATCATGTCATGGTTAGAATATAACTTATTCTGCGATGAATATCCATTATACAATTTTCTGATACAGATAGGGTGCCATTTCTCACTTTGTGAATGTCTTCAGATAGTATGTCTGACAGGTTGTGTATCCTCTCCACCAGAGACGTGTCGAACATGAAGGAAAGCTCTGTAAGGAAAGAAGATTCAGAATGACAGACATAGAGGAAGACACATTGACAGCAACTATGTTAACTGCTGAAGATGAGGATGCACAGAAGACTCAGGTGTATTTGCAATACGATTTCTCCAAAAGAAATGATCAGTCAGCCCTTCCAGTTTCAATGCACAAAAGAGGTAAGCAGCATTATATTTCTCTTCTTTTTTATTTACTTTGTGCTTAAAGATTATCCAGATGAGTGCCTTAAAAACTTGCAAATTGCATTATGAAGTGAAATGATAATACATGATCTTCAAATTTTGTTTCTAATACAGGTATATGATTCATGTGCCATAAATTTTTTTTAAAATCTGTTTAACAGGTTCTGGCAAAAATTGAAGAACATCAAGTTGTGATAATAGGTGGAGAAACAGGTAGTGGCAAGTCAACCCAAGTTCCTCAGTTTATCTTAGATGATGCTGTTGAAAAACATCGACACTGTAACATAATAGTCACACAGCCTAGAAAAATCGCTGCAACATCTCTGGCTCGTCGGGTTTGTCGAGAAAGAGGGTGGCAGCTGGGCAAGATTGTTGGCTACCAGGTACCTATAATTTACTTAACACATTTACTAATTATGTCACACTTTCTAATGAAAACTAGAGAATTACAGACTTAGCTGAGTGCTATTATGTGTGATTTATATTGTATAGAAAATTAAGAATTTAACCCATTGTCAATTGGTTCATATACACTGTCCCCTGTATTTCTTTGTGAATTTTATTGTACACAGATGGCTCCTCAAGTGCTCATCTACCAAGAAGTAACTATGGCTAATATTGACCTCACATAATTCCCCATTCCTTAAAAATTTGAGATTTTTTTTTTATAACGATATACCATTTTTATACTGTTATTATCATCATTGACATTATGATGATTATTATGTTATTAAATACTATCAGCAGTAAAGAATAAAATAGTTCTTTCCATAAATCATAGAAAAGGGTAACAGAAAAGGAGTAAGTGACTCCTTGTGACTTAGCAGTTGTGAGCACCTCTAGATATAGACACAAAAAAGGCCACCTTCCAAATATTCACTGCTGGAGCTTTTCATGCTCATGAGCAAGTCATGTCACAGACCTTTGCCCCATGCTACGTGTCCAACAAAAATGATTTTGTGAGATTATCATCATCATGTGGCCAAATTATGATTCCAACATTATTTATAACCCATTTATTTGAACCTCTGTAGGTCCAACTAACACTTTGATATTCATTGTAATTCCAGAGCATGAGTTCTTAAAATCTTTATTTGTCTTTTTGTTTTGTTACTTATCCATCTGTATGAAACGCAAAACATTTTAGAATTCAAATGTCATGCAATTTTTGTTTTGTCATTCTGCTTTCTTTGTCTCATTATAAGTATTTGTTATATGGCTCCTAGGTAGCAAAGCTCTTTAACAGTTTGTAATTCTCCATATAATTTATAGGCTGATAGAAGTTGTTCATTATTTTAGATATTTTGAAGGAGTTCCTTTGCAGGTTGGTTTGGACAATTGCACAGATGCAGATACCAGGCTTTCCTATGTTACCACAGAAGTTTTGGTACAAAAGTTGATACATAGGGGAAATCTTGATGCGTTTACTCATATTGTATTAGATGAAGTGCATGAAAGGGATCAGCATACTGACTTTGCATTACTGATTGTGAAAAGTTGCTATATACTGTCTCCAGAAATGTGAAGGTAAGTTCCAAAGAAAATGTTTCCTGGGTCTTTATATTTGAAAAATCTATTGTATTTTCTCATGTACTTTTAGTGCTAATCACTAAAATAATTTTTTATTCATCAACAGGTGATTCTGATGTCAGCAACCATTGACACATCCAAATTTGCCAATTATTTTTCAACCCCTGTAATGGGAAACCTTGTCCCAGCACCAGTTGTGTCTGTGGGCGACAATACTTTGTTCAAAATTCAATTTTACTATTTAGAATCGCTTAGTGTCATTTGCAGAAATCGACCTGTAAGTTTACTCTTTTGTTCTGTTGACTGCTCTTAGATTGCAATATATTGTATGGTTGAATGAAATTCTAGTTTGAATTTCAATTATTTTTTAATCTTTGTAATTAACATTTTATTCGCATGAAAAATTGCAAGAAGTCATTTTTTATTACCAAAAGTAGCTCTAGGTCCTTTAAGGCAACACAATAACTGGAGATTGTAATACATGCATTTTTTTTAAGAACGAGAAATATAGGTTGAGGGAAATGAAGATCATTGAATTATATTTTAGAAAAGAGCTGAACAAAATTATAATGTTTTATTAATAAAGATACACGTGTGAAACATATAACATCAATTAAAGATAATTAAATGATTTTATGATAATCTAATCACCTATTTCAAGGAATTGTAAGTGTTTTTCATTCAGTCAGTGCTACCAGAATTACCATCAATACTACCAGAAGATCCAGGCATTTCTGAAAATATGTTCAAATTGGCTTGTGAAATAGTAAAGTGCTTTGACCATGTTGAAAGGCAAGAGAGGGAATCCGGTCTGCTGCCTCCTTTGTAAAGAGAAGGTGAGGTTGGAGTGACAACTTCCCTTAATTGATAAATGAAATAGGATAGCTATCAGAATGTCAAATATGATAAATGTAAGTACATTTTCCATAATCTGACTTATTTCCTGTCCAGGGAGCTGTTTTGATCTTCTTACCTGGCTTAGCAGAGATCGAGAAGTTAATCAACTTGCTCAGCGATGACTCTACTGCTAACCAGTAAGCACCCTATAATGGATATAGAGGGAATAGAGCTATTGATGTGGAAATTTGCTGAGGCTGATGTTGGCTGGCTGATGGGAAAGCAATCTAAAAAGTGAATGGAAAATATAAATCCCAAAGCTAGGGGGACTAAACTGATTACATTTGATTATAATAAAGTTTTACCATATTATTGGGCAAGTGATCTTGATTCGGACTTTCCATTAAGTTTGTAACTGTCTGTTGAGATTGATTCTGTTTATTGATGCTGTACAGGTGGATGCTGTATCCTCTCCATTCTTCTATCACACAAGAGGAGCAACAGAGGGTTTTCTCGGTGCCTCCTATAGGATTCAGGAAAGTTATTGTTTCAACCAACATTGCGGAAAGTTCCATTACTGTACCTGATATAAAGTATGGTAATGAAAAGGCCTATTATTTTTGTTTTTTTGTTAGAAAGAGTGTAATTTTTGTAAGTTGTTCTCTTGTGGTAACAGATTTTTTCCAATCAGGGGTCATCTGCTCACTCATATTTTGAATATTTTGTGGCCTTTTTTTTCAGTGATTGACTTCTGTTTAACCAAACAACTAACTTGTGACCAAGTGACGAATTACACATCTCTCAAAATGGCTTGGGCTTCACAAGCATCCTGTAAGCAGCGGGCTGGCAGAGCAGGGAGGGTGTCCACTGGAAGAGTCTATCGTCTTGTACCAGCAGAATATTTTTCAGTCAGTATATATATTTTTTATTACTGTTATGAAGGAAATAGTCCTTGGGCTTTATTAGTGATAATTTATTTCCAAGAGTTTACGGCTGTTTCACATTGAGAGAGATATTCAAATAATGGGTCACATCTAAAAGAGAAAACGTAGACAAAGTTGATATAATTTAAGCTTAGGTCTTTTGATTATTACAGTCATTTTCCATTGTCCCCAAATCTTTTGTTTTCTTTATGTAGCTTTTTCAGCTGTCCATGAGTAAGTAAATTCTAAGTGATAGAAATGAAAAGACTAAGATAAAATTCTTATCAGTGTCTTGACATAGTGTAGATATTCTCTATACCAGGTTATATCCATTTAGTAGAGTAGCATACGGGTGAGTGAAAGGACATCCATTGATTGTCTCACATTATTCACATGTCTGGTTGGTGAAAAAACATTTATATCGTTAATCATATCAAAAACAACACCAGTATTTATAAAATCATTGCTATTTGCTGCTATTTCATGCGACAAAGTAATTAATCGGTAAGATTCTGCGACTAGGATGCCTTACACATTTTGAAATTAGCTTTGAAACTGGCTTTGCCTCCAAAACTGCATCCTGTACATAGTGTATAGTATAGGCCTTTAATATTTTTATGTTAATTATCATTTTTATTCTTAAATTGATTATAGTATTATGTGATTACTTCCAGACACTGCCTACATATGCTACACCAGAGCTATGCCGAACTCCTCTCTGTCAAACAGTCCTCAAGACCAAAATTCTGAACATGGGAGAGCCACATGCCCTCTTGTCCCTTGCTCTAGACCCTCCAAATTTATCAGATATACATAGAACGATTCTTACTCTCAAACAGGCAAGATTAACAGATATCTTATTTTTTATATTGTGATAATATAGTGGAAAGATGTAATTATGGGATGATGTTACATTTCAAATTACCTCTATGTGGATATTAGTGTGGTCCTGTAATACATCAGCATGAAGAATAAGTATTTTTTATAAGTGATGCAAAAGTCACCGGTGAATCTTGTAGAAAAAAGGAGCTTATTTAGTGTATATTCTTAACTTTCTGTCACTAAGACCAGATGCATTTGAATATGCTCATCCTGATAACATAAAAACAGCATAAATTGTTCCTGTTCTTATTTCAATTGGAATCGTGCAAGTCTTATTCAAGTCACGCATTCAGTTTTACAATATTGCAGATGGTGCACTTGCTGTGAAGTCTAAAGGTGTCGTATCCGGTTTGGACGGAGACTTAACTTACTTGGGAAGGGTTGCTGCACACCTTCCTGTTGACCCACACCTTGCTAAATTCATAGTCATGGGATATTTGTTTGGTGTTCTAAGGGAGAGCATTATTATTGGTAAGATGATCCAGCTAAGGACAAATTAGCTCTTCTTAATCATTTTAGCTCACTCACAGCAAAATAAGAGTATTAAGATGATGATGATAATGATGATAATGATGATGATATTGATAATGATAATAGTAATAATGATGATACTACTACTAATGATAATAATGATAATAAGTATGATAATGATTATAATAATTATGATAATAACAACTATAAAAGTGCCCAAGTGGTAGCACTGAATTGAATAGGTTTTTAAAAGCTTATTCTTCAGGAGCAGTTTGCAGTAACATTCTTAGAGTTGTGGACAGTTTCTTTGAATATCATATTGATGTAAGAAATTTAACAGAAGAAATATAGGCAAAGAAAGCTGACCTTGCATATATTATGCTGTTGTTTAGAGGTAATGTATTCTTAGCTTTGTAGAGACATTATTTACATCGTTTCCTTTTCAGCTGCTGGGCTATCCTTGAAAAGCTTCCATGCTCGGCCCTTCCAAGACGAGCTGAACGCCTTTCTGTCCAAGGTTTCCTGGGCATATGGATCCTTCTCTGACTGCTTAGCCGTATTGAACACATACAATGTAAGAATTTGAGTTTTTGCCAAGACTATAGGACTTGCAGTAGCAGACGACTTGTAGGGAAAATATCGACTACAATATTCAATTCTGATTCAGAGACGAATGGAAAATCATTTTATTTATATATTTAAAACCGTTTACCCAATAGCTTTGGCAAAGCATGCAAATCAGAGGAGAGTTCCTGAGGCCTGGAGGGAGACAGGAACGAGAATGGGCTAAACACAGTTACGTACAGCTTGAGGCCCTAAAGGAAGTGGATAGCTGGTGAAGGAATTAACCCAGCGTTTAGAGAGCCAAAAATCACTGTACGGAATCGACAGAATCCTCCAAGGAGCCATCAGGCCTTCATTCTCAAGGTAGGGTATGTTGTTTTGATGATAAAGAATTTCTCTTTCTCTTCTTTTCTTTTCTCTTCTCTTCTCTTCTTCTCTTCTCTTCTCTTCTCTTCTCTTCTCTTCTCTTCTCTTCTTTCTCTTCTTCTCTTCTCTTCTCTTCTCTTCTCTTCTCTTCTCTCTTCTCTTCTCTTCTCTTCTCTTCTCTTTCTCTTCTCTTCTCTTCTCTCTTCTCTTCTCTTCTCTTCTCTTCTCTTCTCTTCTCTTCTCTTCTCTTCTCTTCTCTTCTCTTCCCTTCCCTTCCCTTCCCTTCTCTTCTCTTCTCTTCTCTTCTCTCTCTTCTCTTCTCTTTCTCTTCTCTTTCTCTTCTCTTCTCTTCTCTTTCTTCTTCTCTTTTCTCTTTCTCTCTTCTCTCTTCTCTCTTCTCTTCTTCTCTCTTCTCTCTCTCTCTCTCTCTTCTCTCTTCTCTCTTTCTCTCTTCTCTCTTCTCTCTTCTCTCTTCTCTCTTCTCTCTTCTCTCTTCTCTCTTCTCTCTTCTCTTCTCTCTCTTCTCTCTTCTCTCTTTCTCTCTTCTCTCTTCTCTCTTCTCTCTTCTCTCTTCTCTCTTCTCTCTTCTCTCTTTCTCTCTTTTCTTTTCTCTTTTCTCCTCTTCTCTTTTCTCCTCTTCTCTCTTCTCTTCTTCTTCTCTTCTCTTCGTTCAAATGTGTTCAAGTGTGACAACTGTATAATTTCTTTTTTTTATCAGAGGTCATTTTTTTTCTACTTTTTCTTTTTGCAAAATTAAGGCAAGTTCAAGGTTTATAAGTATGCATTGCTGAAGATAAAGCTACCTTTGCAGATGTGTATGGCAAGTGCCTTTTTCCCTTATTACTACAAGCGGAACATCTCTGAGAATTATGAGAAGGAAATGTGTCGTGAACTCAATGGGCACGACCCCTTCTCCACTGTGATTGTGAGTGGGCTTCCCGCAAGGTCAAATGTTCTTTATGACAGTCAGTTGAAAGAATTGTTCAAAGAATGCTCACAAAATCTTGAAATTCAGTATGAAGGTTGCAAGTAAGTATATGGTTGAAAGTAACTAATGAACTTTTGATATAGATTAGGAAAAATCAATGATTTTTTTTTCCCCATAGGTTATGTATACTTCAGCTGCATTAATTCCTTGCTAGATATGTAGTATCTATCCTTATTTTGGTGTCATCTGAAGGGGTTAATGATATTTTATTATTCATTCTTTAGAGCCTATATTCAGTTTCCTCGAATGAGTCTTTCATCAACCAAAAAGGAGCACTTCCAAGACGTCCCAGGGGAGTGTCCCACCTCCATGCACCTGGCCCTTAAGATGCGCCAAGTACCGCGAATTCAAAAGAACCTTGTGCTGAATCTGTATAGGTAAGAAGCTGATATATTATTTCATGAGATACTGACGAGAAACCAGTTGTAGAAACATCCACATCTGTAGTCTCTCTGGATAATCATTTGAGTGGAGTTAATCAATGTGAATGATATTACATTTCATGTTTTTAGCCAAGGAGAGACTCAAAAGAAAATGTCAGAAGTGTTTGGAAGCACCACAAGCATGTCAGGGATAAGTTTGTTCAAGGATCCACACAGAGTCTTCTGGGAATGCAAGACTTAGAATGGCTGACTCTCATATGCATATGTTGAGGCCCCCACCATGCCTAAGCCTTCAGATCGAACTTGGAGAGTCCATGTCACACATGTATGTCAATGTTTTTATGTTTTTTCTATATATGTCAATATACATTAATATAATGTATTTATCTTTGCAAAGATATCTGTATACCTTTTATAAATCTATGTCAGTATCAGTATGTATGTGTCACACACACACAGTATGGACAGAAATAGATCTATAATTTTTTCATCTAATAATGCCACCATTATTATCACCATGATAATCATTGTTATTACTAGATATGTTAATATATTTTATTATGTATTATTGATATTTTTTATTTGTTTTATTTGTTTGATTTTATAATTTTTCAAAATTGTATTACAGGTAGTCACTGCTGGCCATTTTTGGATAGTGTCTGAGGAGACGAGTGCACTAAAGAATCTCAACCACATTCATTCAGCCATTCAGAGAGCTGTAGAGCAAAACCAAGCAGTCTTTATCCCTGAAAGTGAAGTCAAACCGGGGATCGTGTGCCTCGCCAAGTTCACCGACTCTGATGGAATGTCCTGCTATTACAGAGCACGTGTGGATGAAGTGTATACCGGGGAAGACAATGGAGTTAGAGCTCAGGTATTTTGCCTTTGTGCGTCAGTTTCCTTTCCTTTTCCTTTGCTAATGTACATGTACGTAGGACTAAATTTCGGGTAAGCTGTTCAGTGATGACAAAAATTCATATACTGTCCTAGTTTAAGAGACTGGCCAGGACTTTAATTTTCCTATTACACCAGCTGCATCTACTCTGAACAAAGTTATTACTATCAAGGGATTTAGGATATGTACCACAGTGGGTGCGATCTAGGGAACTGTCCAGTATCACAAGTTCCAGAGGTTTAGAGTTAGACTTTTCATTTTCACACCTGCACATATTTGATGCTGAACAAAAGAAAAAAAAAAAGAAAGAAAGAAAAGGGAGATTTTGTGCGAAGATTGTTCATGTGATGATTTATTAATATTGTTGAAAAAAAGTATAAGTATACATTGCAGTAAAATGTTCAGAGAGTAAGGTGCAGCATTTTCATAATTCTGTTCTGATTTTTTTAACAGGATTATATGTGCAGAATGGCCTCTCATTTTACACTTTTTTTAATATATATTTCTGTTTTTGATGTATTATTAAAAAGAGATGATATTTAAAAAATAATAATAATTACACTTCTTTTTACATGGAATGTGTAATGAATTATAAAAACATGGCAGATAGATTCTTATCAATGGTCGGTAGAATTAAATTTCATTGTTCACTGAAAGTTTCTATCATGCATTAGTATATCCATTCTATTTTGTTGCAATTTTTCCATCCAAAATATGTTTCTTTAACCAGTTATTGTATACAGTAGTAATCAATACAGGCTTAAATCTGTTCTGTATTTTGCATTACTTTTGAAGAGGTATTGGTAAGCAAAATATTTTTTGGTCATAGAATTCTTATTTTATAATTTTCAATTATTCAATCATTGCTATATGATCAAAATTGAATTAAATTGATGAAGGCAGATATATGGTATACATTATTTATATGTTATTGACTAACATATAAATAATGTATACCATATATCCAGTGGATTCAAGAGTTGTGTGAACTTGCATCTCAAGCATATATATACACTTTTTCCTTCTCGTTTTAGTCAAATCCAATGATAAATTAAAATATAATGAGTGATAGATATAGAGTCCATATTGAACAACTGGTGTTAGAATTTTATTGTACGAGTTCAAATGTAGTAAGGCGTTTGAATTCCAGGTATTTTTTGTTGACTTTGGGAACACTGATGTTGTAAAGGCTGTGGAACTCAGAAGAGTGCCAGGGAGGTAAGAGAGTGGCACTTATTCATTGTAATTTATCGTGGTTTTGTGAAATTAAGTGTAATTCTGAAATATTAGATTTATTTTCAACTCAGATGCTAAAAATATTCAAGTATGCATAAGGTAATATGCACTATTAAATTGTTCATATTAGGCTTTAGAAATAAGTATATCTGAAATATTGAAGTGCACATGTAAGCTAGTAATAGAGTTATGATCAGTTGTATTATACTTTGCCACTGATCATTACTCAGAATGATAGTGGGTAAAGTTATATCTAGAAAGTCTTGATAATATTACACAATTATGTTTCAAAATTTTTCATACTGCTGTCCATCTGATCCCTGTTTTACAGCTTGATGTTGGCGGAGATGCTAGCAGTTGAATGCAAATTGGCTCAGGTTAAACCAGCATCTGATAACAAATGGCTAGATGAAGCTACGGAATGGTTTAGAAGCCACACATTGAATAAGGACTTCATTGCCCAGGTTAGAAAAAATCTATTTTCTAGAATTTTTGATTGGTCAGTTTTCTCAGACTTAAAGAAGGTATTCCTACTTCCTATTAACCCATTGCTGCCAAGAATGTGTAATGTCTGCTGTGGTTTTGTTTTGTGAAAAGTGTTTACAAGTATTCAGTGCCAGTGGGGTGGGGGTGGACTGACAAATGGACAAACAATAATACTATACAATGCTTTACAGATCTACAGTGTTGTGCATAAAATCATGAGAGTAAAATTAATGGAAGTGGAAAGTGGAGATTTCCTGTCCGTCAACCGAAGACTTATTGATCTTCAATATGCTGTTAAAGCTGAGGAATATTATCTTTCAAGGTCTGTGTTTGCATGCTTCTCTCCCACATAAAGGGAAACTTATTTTTTTGTGCTTGGTTCCTTGAGTAAGGTAGTGTAAGAAAGGATAGCTGCTACTGGGCACGTGTTTTAAAATGAAGACAAGTTAAATACTTATAATAAAGACAAAATGTGGGGGTAATGTTCAAATGGAAATATTCCGAATACTACATTCAGGGAATTAATTCAGTTTTCTAATTTGTAGTCTTAATTAAATAGAATGACATTTTATGTTACCTTTCAGTATCATTATCTATGTATTGTAATGATAATTTTCTTTTATCTGATTTCAGCAAAATCATGAGTTGAGAGCCCTCTGTAACATGGAAGCTGAAAGCACAGCCCTAGATAACATAGGACATCTTTCCCAGGCCCTTTCTGTGTCATCTCTGGATCTGAAATTTGGTCCAGCATCCTATGCAGGGAAGGTTAGCTAGAACTGTGAAGAAACAAGGCATTAAGATTTGTATTATTGTATGACAGCCAGAGAAAGGAAGAGTGAGGGAGTGAGAGATTGAGTAGGGGGAGAAATATAAATGAGAAAACTAGTGTTATGGTGTTTCATGATTTTATTCTCTGCATTTGTAAATGAAAGTCATCCTTACGTAAAATAATTCTGTCACCTTTATTGTTTTGTTGGATCGTGGTACCTCTCTGGCTGTACTTGACCCAAAATCAGTTCTTTAGGCTGTTTGAAATTATTTTGTAAATGGAAATGGTCATATTACAAATACTGACTGTACTATGTTATTATCACAGGCAAAGTTGCAAGGTCCAGAATCTCCACTGCTACTACGCTTTGTGGCATTGTCTCGCACTGGATGCACAAAGGGAGTGAAAATTGAACCTTCATCAGTCAACTCGACTGCATTAGACCTTGAACCACAAAACCCCCATGATAGGTAAGGCTTTTATAATGTCTCAGTTCCTCTGTTATGAAAAAATGACTTTTTCTTCCCCATGTTAGAGAAGCACACTTCTTTTTCTAACGTCAGTTACTAAGTTGTCAAGACTTGATTTTTTTTTTTCCCCCTGGTTAGATATCTAGTTCATTGACTCTGTTTTTGTTCTTCGTGAACAGGTTTTCCGCTGTATAGATGATTATTTTATAAGTGATGAAACTAAAATTTCATACAGGATGATAATTGCTGCCTTTGTGACTTTGAACCCTTCTGAGACTGTAACAACTTTGCATCACACGACAATAATGCCTTCTGTACCTGGAATTCTATCACTCTGCCTTCTGTTGTTTTGCCCAGTAGCAGAGCTCAGGTTAGTCACAAACTGTAAAACTTCATCTTTTTTGTTTTTACTCTTTGTATTGATAGATTGTCTGCTATTTATGTTAATGATCTTGCACGTAAATGAAGTGTAAACAGATAGGTACAAGATACAAAAAGCAATGGATTTATTTCTTACTCATAAGATAATAGTTCCAATAATGGTCTTTTTGTGTAAATGTCTCTAAAAAGGCATAGCTGCACTGATCTTGTTCAGGCATCTGTTCCGGGAAGTGATTTTATTTATCTTTGAACACAGAGTGAACAAAGAAGGGACGCAGTACACAGGCGCCCTAATAGGACTTGGTCATGATCACGATGGAAATGCAGTATACCCTGCTGATGATATTGAAGCCTCGTTTGATATTCACTTGACACAAGAGGATTTGGTGTTGGTAAGCAGATCATCCATTTTAATTTAATTTAATTTAATTTAATTTTTATTATTATTTTTTTTTTATAAATTTACCAGAAATTGTTTTACAAATTACTATAGCTGATCATTTTCCTTGCAGATAAATAGAGTACGATTCCTTATGAATGTAGTACTAGAGGAAGGAGAAGATGTTGCAGATAAAGTTCTTATCAAAACCCAGAACAGAATGAGAGAATTGCTTCTTCAGTAAGTAAATTTATAATACATATTTCATTCAAGCCCCTTATAATTGTTCCTCTTCTAAATTAACTGCACACAGGATGCAACACATAAGTTTCATAGTGTTGATGGCTTCTATATTAACGTGGTAAAGAAAATTGGTAATTTTAATATTTTCCTCCAGGTTGGTAGATGTCAACAGAGACTATCGGGAACCAGAGAGCTACCACTATCCATACCAGTGGCAGATGGTAAGTCGCAGAAAGTCATTGTCACATCTGTTACATTATTATTCTTTCTATATCTGCTTTTCTGCCAATTTTTCCATCTCTGCCCCATCTCCATTTCATGGTCTTAAATTCCATATACTACTGACAGGTACCTAAGGAGGAGATCCTGCACCCTCAAATAGACTTGTTCTGGACGAGAGCATGGGTGCCGTCTTTCCCCTTCACTGCGGCATTTTCTTGCAGCCAGGCGGAAATCACAACGAGACCTCGTAAATCTCCCCTTGGAGGAGGCGGGAGAATGATTTTTATATGAAGGGTTGAGATTTTTCACTAATTTTTACTGTAATAAGTTCTAAAAAGGCATTTACGTGATTTGTTAATATGATGTTAATTAGCCCTTTCTGTTTTAGTCCCAAGAATCTATTAAATAATTTACTCTTGCAACAACTGAAATTTTATGAAAAGCAAGACAGTGATATAGTGACAGTATGCATTTACGTTGATAAAGAAAGTGACTGGAGTGAAAAAATCTTGATCAGACTAAGAAGAAATTGAACAACTGGATCTTGAAATAAAATGCCAACTCATCTAAGCTAGTATGATTGGAATGAGGAAAGTAATATAATGTTTTCAAGATGATATATTAGACAAAAGGTAACCCAGTGATTGAAATACTTGAATTATGTGAATAATTGAATACTTTGTCTCATTTAACCCTAAAGGTTTAAATGCCCAGTTATTAACTGTATAATTTCAGAAGATATATAATTTTCTTTGGTACATGCAAAATGCCAATATCAGAAGTGTAAGTGAAAAGTTGAATACAATATTTTTGCAAATTGTATACATTTTAGATTGTAAAACCTAGGTGATAACCAGGATTGAATTTACCTTCCCAATTGAAATTTTCAATCAAAACAGAATTTTGTTCAGTTTTTATTGTTTGACTTCTCTGCTACACATCACTTGATTTGTTTGCACTTTTGCCATTAAATAAATACAAAATAGAAACAGGTTTGAAATCAAAGGTTCTCAAAAAACCGTTCATGTTTTATTTTCTAATAGGGCATATCTATGTTCAATTGAACAAAGTTTTCTAATTTTTTTATTTTGGTTTTTAAATAATTATTAGTGTTATTGAAAGCTAGTGCTCCAAAGCCTCTGCTTCAGGGAAGATTTTGTGCTCTGTTCTCCTGTTCAGAAATAAATTTTTCCATAAATACAATTGTATAATTCCATTTCCAAATTCCCTTTCAAGAATGTATGTCATACATATTGAAAATTACAGCCAAGTTATGATATTCATTTATTATTAAATCACACCAAAACATATAGTCTACCTACAAACTTAGTCCATCATTTATATAAATATATCAACAAACATATAAATAGAAAGTAAGATGGCAAATTCCTATGAAGAAAACAATTCCTTAGAGTTGACCCTTACTTTTGGCTTCCGTGGCATCTTCACTGGTCTTAGGTAAGGGTTATCCAACTCTGTCTCCGGGGATTCATTACTTCTGTCTTTTTTCCTGTAATTATAAAAGGTTGAGTGACTAAAATATCAACTATATATAAAAACCTTGTTACCCAAGTTCTAGTCAGGTGATAGCAATTACCCTGATTGAGATACCCAACTCTATATGAAAAACTTTACAGTGCATTGTTAATCATGTTTGTTCTCATGATTTTTATACTTTTGTGTAACTTTCTCCATATTTTGTGATATGTGAAATTTACAACGGAGAGTAATTTCTTTTCTTGCTGAAAATATTGATTCCTCTGGCGGTCAGGCAAAGACAAGAGCATAAAACCATTTTAGGGGGATTGTCTCACTTGTAATGCATTGGATACCTCAATTTTTTTTTTCCTCCGCTAACCATATGGCTTGCCAAGGCACAAACAAGCAGCATTCAAGGTAATGCTGCTTTTGCGAACTTTATGATGGTAAAAGGTTTAGAATTTGTTAAAGCATGTAATGAGATCTTGACTTACAATATAATGCAGTGGATTTTATCAGTGAAATACCATGTAATGTTATCACAATCTTGCAATTCCATAAAACTACATACTGGTTTCCAGTGATGTAATGACAAAAAGCTCACTCTCTCCCAATCACTCTCACTCACTCTATGCTTTTTTTTTTTTTTTTTTTTTTTTTTTTTTTTTTTTTTTTTTTTTTTTTACGGAAAATTAATATATACATTCATTCCACTTCTACAATTATAGACGCACCAGTGGAGAGATACAGAGCCCAGGAATATTTTTCCTCTACTAGGGCTGTACCCTCCTCATCCAATGGTTTATTGTCTACTGCAATAGGCTGTTACACTGTGATTAAACTAATATTATATTGTTTTATATTATTATATTATTATTATTTTTATTATTATTATAATACTATCATTATTATTATAATACTATCTTTATTATTATTATAATACTATTATTATTATAATACTATTATTATTATAATACTATTATTATTATAATACTATTATTATTATAATACTATTATTATTATAATACTATTTATTATTACTATAATCAGAAAACAACAATAATGATGAAAATTATAATAATAATGATAATAATTATAATATTGATAATAATACTTCAAGAGTAATATCTTGTTGGATTCGTGGTCACCTTTGTAAAAAAACAAACAAACTGAAAACTACAATGAATTGAACAGCTTTTTATACCAATGACCGTATTCATATCCTGACCAGTGCTCACCACAGCAACATGATTTTCAGCTAGGCTAGATGCACCATTATCAACTCAACATGTTTGTTTATATTGTGGGAGTTTGTTTATATTGTTTATTTATTGTTTTTTATATTAAGTTTGAGGAAAATCCTGGCCTCACCTGATACTTTCTCCATCATCCTGACTTGTCTTTGCTTCTTTGTCCATGTTCTGTCTTCCTCCTCTTCGAATACTTGGTCTCGTGGCATCAGGGCCCAGGTAACACTTTGGGTTTGGATCAACACCAACAACTGAAATAAATGAAAATAAGTAAAGACATATGGAACTCACTTGCTATTTCACCTACGCACTCACTGTCCCCTCATCACACTCACAAAATATAATACAGTACTTGAACCAATTTTCAATCCTTCGACAAGCAATTTGTTTATCACACCTCCATACTGTATGATTAATGCAGAATAAATCATAACCTATTTCTAACTCTGTTTAGAAAATATGCCCCATCCTTACGCATAAATTCCTTGTCCTCGGGAAGAACAAATCTGCGTTTCTCTGGTCTTGGCTGCAAACTTGGTCAAAGCTCTCTCTATGTCCCTTTTCTGTGTTGCAGCTTTTTCTCTGATTGCCTCATACTCAGTAACTGGCTGCTTGTAAGTATGTGAAAAGCTAAAAAAGAAAGAAAGAAAAAGTTCTAATTAGCCGAAGAAGTCACTAAGGAGGTATGACTTGCTTCCCTCACATATTCATAATACTCTCTCCCTATAAAGGCTCAACTGAGAAAAAATATGTATATTGGATATTATCAAAGTCTAAACAACAAGATTTAAATTAACTTCATCAATATCTACTACCAACCCAAATATATTTTAATATTTCATGGAACAATAAATTTAGTTAAGGGTGAGTCAACAGTCACATAAAAAAGACCATAAAAAAGAAGTATTTGAGATATATTGCTAATTCAACAGTAACCGATCTTACCAATATGTATGTGTATCCGGGAATGGTGGCAAGTGATCAGGAATATGGGATGGGTGAGACTTCTTGTCTCCAACTTGTAATACATTATGTTGTTTGAGGTCCACCTGATGAGCTGGAGGCGTGATAACAACTCTGTTTGGCCTCATCTTGTAGGCCTTGAAAAACAAGAAAAAAGTGTACTTGTATTTAATTGTTAAATACCTTCTTGACTTGTACTTCATTAAACATTCTACGGTAGTATGCAATGCTGAACATTCTATTCTTACTGTTAAACTAGAATATTTGAAGGAAAATGTACTTTAAAAAATGAACTTTTCAAACTGGAG